AAACGCAATGTTTGTTTTTTTATTCCTGCACATAATATATTACAGCACATTTCCTTACAAATTTATGGATTTACTTATTATTAATTGTATCCATTGAGAGGAACCTTACAAATATAAACACAAGTGCCATCCAAAATATTGAAAGTACAATAAGCGCACTATACTTCTATATAAGCCGTGCGTGTGTATGTGTGTGTATGTAACAAATATATATACATGCTATATAACAAATCATTTTATTTGTAAGAGACGAAACAGTATTACATATATAATTTCAGATGATGTTACTTTTCAATGCAATGCGACATAGTTAACATTTCTTTTATATACCGTATTGACTAATAAGTGATCTGCTATAAAAATATATCTTGCTGTTTCTTATAAAAAAATTTACCATGACACTACAAATGGCATATGATGTTTAGAAATTTAACTTTTTATAAAACCTTCAAAAGATGAATTAGTTTTATAAACAAACATGTATATTGTGACAAGGGTAAGAGTTCGGGAAGTAATTCATATTTCTCTCGTGATTTACTTTCTTCGTACAAATTCATTCTTTGTACATTCACTTATTTGATCCAAATTATTGTTTATGATGCAGTTTGTATCAATACCTTCTATTCTTTATTTTAATATCTGTCCGTTCTCCACGTTACCAAGAATTCTTGGGAAGTGTGTTTAAAAATAGCTGAACAGACTGAATATTCCTCCATAAAAATATCGGATAAGAACATCGATAGGTCTATAGTTCAATAGCTGGTCCTGCTAAAGGCGGACACTAACAGTAACTAACTAAATCTCCTCTGACTCTCTTTATATTCTAACATATATAATTATAATCTAGAAGAAGGCAATGAATTATTTAAATGGCTGACTAAAATTAATCAACATTGATGAAATTGCATATAAATGTTGAATCCTTTCGTTCTTTCAGTTAACAAATAGGCCAAGTTATGAGAGATATAACAAATAACATTAATCTATAATGCTTTTATAATGATGTTTTAATGATAGTTAACATCCTAACGACTATATTAATGCCATTGATAGTAAAATAGCGCTTATTTAAAACCTGCTATTTTAAACTTTGGTTGGAAGAGAATTTGGTTGTGAGAAAATACTTCTTTTCTTTTTTCCTTTATCCTTATACACCTATTCTTTCTCATTTGTTCTTAAATACGGTGTCTTTCGAATAGAATCCATAGATACAGTTAATGTACAGATTAGTGTCTTTATTAATCGTATTAAATTTTAATAACTGTGTTATCACTTTACTGTTATATCGACATGCATTGCTATATGGCAATATAGAGCGCTAAGATCCACGTTCATTCTACATATGTAAAATACAAAAGTAGAAAATATATCGAGATGCTATTCCGTTTTAATAGAAAAATAACATAACGCAACACACGCGTACAATGATTCCTACAAGGATAGGTAATCCGGAGTGCTGAATTGCCATTTCGTTTAATCTATTCTTTTCAGAAAAATGAATAAATATTTATTCCTTCTTCACAACTCTCTCTCTCTCTCTCTCTCTCTCTCTCTCTCTCTCTCTCTCTCTCTCTCTACAGCAGAAACTATATTTTATTTCCCCTTACCGTTTCTCACAGGTGAGGGAAAATTAATGCACTGTCTCAATTGTTCGATTATTCAATTGTCGGATAATTACACAATGTATGTACGAATAATCAGAGGAAATTTCCAATACCTATATACACTCATACATGCGAGAAAAAAAACCCAAGAAATATCACACTTTAATCTACTACACACATTTCGCATATAAATAATAAATTCGTAATGCCTTCTTACGATCGATCGAACCTTATTATAAAACTGGCAAATGTAGCCCTTGCACTTCTCCGGACGGGGCGCTCGATTCTATCGAGGACATTATCACCACATACACACACACGAAATATGGGTTTGAAAGTTACATTACGAACCATGCAAATATAGAATACAGTGCATTGTTACGTTAGAATTGTCCATATATGTACACGTAAATTGTCTCTGGAGGAACATTGCGAAGAAGTGCAAGTCGTTATATTTGCGGGGAAAATACCTATATATTGTAAAATGCTAAATGATACCGGGAGAGGGGGGGGGGGGGGGAGGGACNGGTGTGTGTACACACACACACACGCACGCACGCACGCGCGCGCGCGCGTGTGTATATATGCGAAAACAATGTGCGAAAAAGAGCCAATCTTGCTTGATGAAAATGGTTTGATTTAAACGAACAATTATCACGCGATGTGTGCATAATGAAATTATGACTAGAATCGATGGGATCTAATTTATTCGACCTTCAGTCGTTTACTGAACTCTTCCTGCTGCTTTTCCCTCCATTCCTTTTTCGGCTTCATCCTCTTCAGCTGGCCGTCCCTGTCGTCGGATACAAGAGACGTGAGATACGAAGAAGAGAAAGATGAAAAAAAAATTAATTAACTCGTCAGAACAGAATTGTCCTAAATAGTCAACATCTACGTGTAGGAAATACGTCGGGATGTAGGGCCACGATCGAACGTACCACTGCAGATCGACAAGACCGCCCTGCCGCGCTATCACAGATTTCACTCGATTCGCAAAGTCGATGGCGCTCTCCCCTTCGTTCTTGTACATCGGTGGGAGGTACCAGACATCACAGACAATCGCCCAGCTCGACATCATCATATACAAATATTGCAACATCGAGTATCGGCTGCTGTTCCAAAAGGCGTCCCCGAATCTCGGATCGTACTGCACACAAGAAGAAATACGAGACTCGTGAAGAAACGGAAACCCGTGCCTGCCCGAAACGAAGATAGATCTTCTGGCAAGGAGGGAAAGAGAAATCACCTTTATGGCCACGGGATAGATGACGCTGTCCACCTCGAAACTACCCTTCTTGAATTGCATCACCGATGTGTTGTTGATACAGGTGCCCTCCGGAAATATGAGTATCGGTGGGTTCGTGAGATCCGACACGTGTTTCTTTAGCCTGCGTCAAACACAACGACGAATTAATTTGTATACCTAATATATTGTGACATAATATATAATGTATAAATATATATAACAGGATGATATAATCGTGGTTTAAATAACCGTACCTTTTCGCCACCGCTTCCCTGTCTTTAACCTCGGAACGTTCGAACCATATGTGCGGGGAGGCACGAGCAAGAGCTCTTTGTAATATCCCCAAGAAACCACCGTGCCTTTGACCTATCTGTAGCGAGGAACACAATTGAGACGAGCTGGCACGAATTTAAAAATTATGCGCAACTCGCAAAAATCGTGCATCTTCCGTTGAAGCACAGACACCGGGAGTCACGTCGGATGGAACAGATAAGTCTCTCGACGAAGGAAAAGACCACCAGAAATCTTGTTCTTTTTTTTATTCCGACAATCAAGATAAATTTCCCCTCAATATGGGTGACTTTCGTCGACCTGAAGTGTAACCAAGGAAATTATCTGTCATCATCGGAAAGTGCACGATTTCCGGAATACCTTACGCTACATGGAACAACATTGAAAGCAACGAAAATATAAGAACTAGCTCGAGTTAAAAAAAGCACGTTTCCATACTTAAAGAGTAACATCGTTCTGTGGATGTCTCCAAATATGTGATGTAGATAAAGCAAATTCGACGTACGCGTTGATGATGGAGGGAGGGAGGAAGGGAGGGAGAGAGAGAGAGAGAGAGAGAAAGGAAAAGAAAGAGAGAGAGAGAGAAGAAAAAAAAGAGCAGCTGTAAAAAATCTATATCCAACTGGCGTAATCTGGAACGTACCAAGGAGTAACAATTGTCACACATGAGTACGAGCACGTCAATGGGAGATGTGTGATTAGCTACACATATGCCCCTGACAGGTTGATTCTCCGGATTGTGGTAGGTGATAACTGAAGACAGAGCACTGGATAAGAAAGTAAAGCACACTATGGAGACTTTGTAGTTCAGCCACCGCTTGAAGCTACCCTCGGGAACGTAGCCCACTACCGCAGTGCACACTGTCAGCCACATCACCTGTAAACCACAAGCTTTGCACCTGAGAAACGTGGAGATTCCCTCTCTATCGTTGCTGAGTAGATACTACCTGTAAACCAAAGTTACAGGACACGTTACCTGTAACATTTACCAGTAATGCAACAACTTCTTGTAATACTAGCAACAGAGACATCTCTCTGACTTCCTCGGTTGTGAACTTCTTTCGGAGGTAAAACACCGGATTTCAAAGAGTTTAGATCGCGTTTTGCTTGTGTTACGCGATAGAGGACACGAGATATAGGAATACATTTTTCGACTATACGTATCTGTTCGTTAATGATTGTTAGGGAAAAAAAACGTAGCCAGTGTTTGCCAGTATGTAGATAAATTATCTAAACAATCATCCAGATGAATAAATATATCTTTATCTAGATGGAAGAAATACAAAATATATTCATCTTCATTTTAGATAAAAAAAGAACATGTTATCTTGTCTAAAAATTATCTGAAATGATTTTATAGTTCATATTCTGAACTCATTTTTCGATAAAATGAATTAAATACTATGGACCTATGAGTTAAATCCGTATCAGGGGATTGGAGATTAGATTTCAAATAATCAGCAAATTTCGGTTTTGTTTCTTTTGGCCTGTTTTTTAGTTGCACTGCAAAACTGGTGCAATAAGTTAGAGCGAGACAAAACACAGCGATTAGTGAGCAGTCAATGATTATTGGTCTTTTTTATTAGATCCTTAAATTTAGAGCGATTATGTTGACGAATTACTTAACCGTTGTGATTTGATGATCTACGTAATTTTTATTATAGATTTTTATAAAGTCTCTCATAAAAACGATATCATTTAAAAAATTATCTCGATAAGTAGCGCTACTTGCCTTATCTTTCATCTAGATAAATTAAAAGCAAATCATCTCCGTCTTTTCTAAGATAAATTTTTCGGGTTTTCATCTGCTCTTCATCTAGATAAATCTGAAATCATCTCAGACAAACACTGAACATAGCGTATACTGCCGCGTGTATCGCGCGGTTTGAGTGATGATAGCAAATTAAATGTAACGCTACGCTTCTGAAAATGCGTTAGAAAGTTGGTTTTTTTTTCAGTTTGCCACATGAACATCAAAACGACGATGAGAAGAAGGATCGTTAAGTTGGGACAGACGGACGAGAAATACATTTGTGATAAATTCGACACAAATTCGGACACAATCACAATGAAACGTTCAATTCTTTTTGGTCTGTAAGCTCTCCCAATTCGCGAGATGTATATATTACCAAGGAGAATGTCGTTTCTGTGGATAGGATGCAGACGTCGAGGGTGGATGTGTGATTCGCCACACACACCCCTCCGTTCTTTGGTTTATACTCCGGATTGTGGACTTGGATCAAGCCCGATATCGAACGGGACATTATCCTGAATGCGATAAGGTTGCCTTGGTTGTTCGCCCAACGTTTTACGCGGCCATTTGGTAGGAAGCCGATTAAAAATGTTACTATTACAAGATACAGTACCTAAGAAGCTTCGATATTAGTAGACGTACTCTGCTTCGAATTGTTTTCAAACGTTAAATATTATTACACGCGTTCCGTCGTAAATCTGAGAGAGAATGATATGTCTATGATATGAAAAAAGAGGCTCGAGAATTTCACAGAAAACTAATATTTACAATTTCGGTCTGAGATTAACCGAAAAGGAATCAGTTTTTACGTGTAGTTCATCATTGCACTGCTAGATAAATATGTAACAGGAATACGAAAAATCATTTGTCGCAACGATTTTTCTATATTTTAAGATTGTTCGCTGCACTTTATATTTCATCATTTCATCATTGTAACTATTTTATAATATGCCAGTTATAAGTTATAAGGTGCGGAATAGTATTACACTTACCCCGATAAAACAAATGGATACTCTCACGGGCAGAAGAAAGCAGTAACGCATGACAAATCCAAACATCCAAATGATGGTTAACTTCCATGAAATAAATTCGTAGTATCTGTTCGTTCGGGTCAACAGATTCCAGTTCTACGTAGAAAAACACACTCATAAATTGTTTGTTGTTGTATGCTTATTAATTTATTGAATATGCATTAATTACTGATTATTATCCAAATGATGAAATAAAGTCGAGGCTAATGCGGACAGTTTACGGAGTAAGAAAGAGGTTCTGGCGCTACTTTTTCGTCAATAAGTATTTTATTAATAAAATTGCTCAGAGGAACTAAAAGAATAATTTTGCAACAATATTAGTGAGGTAAGATTTAACTTTTTCTTCAACTTAATGGCAAATTTACGCAATACTTGACGAAAATACACTTTAAATATTAATTTTGTTATCTTGATAGTTTTTCTAAACTTCTGTCTTACATATAAATATATAAAATTGGGGGAAATTGTTGTATTATGACGTTTTATGTATGCTATAAATATATAAAATTGGGAGAATTTGTTGTATTATGACCTTACATATATGTTTGTACAAGTTTATAATTAAAGTTTATAATTAAATTTCATGGAAATGATACGGTAAATATTATTGAAATTTCTGTTACGTATATTGTTAATTTAACTTTTATATCATGTATATTATAAGTTTATCTCTTTTGGTTGAAAGCCAGAATCTCCCAGTGAAGAAATGAAAGGAAATAAAAAAATTAGAAGTGAAAGAAATGAGGCGATGGAAGAAATCCTAGCGAAAAAAATCGCACACTTTCACATTTTATCCGCTCGCGAGACTTTCATTAAAATTATGCACCAATACCACAGTTCTTACTTCGACTCATTTTATATTTGCTATTGCTACCTTAAGTTCTTCTGCTTCGAAGCGTGATGTCACTTCATCCTCTATAATCGCTTCGACACCGGCTCTGATGTAATCCAAGCAGCTGGCTGGCTCAAATCCGGTTTTGAACACTTCGAAGGAGTTCTTCTGATTAAGACTGTCCTAAGACAGTCGCAAATAAGAGAAGGCACGATTAGTTGGCTGAACGTAAAATTTTGGAAAGAGACATTTCGATCCGACATTTTCTGTTCTATAAATTTTTTACCTCTTTATTATTGAGTGCTGACACCTCGTGATTGTTCTCGAGCTTCGATTCGTCCATATGATTCTTGTGATTTTGCGCCTCTGGCTCGGGTACTAAAATTAGGTCCTTCGACCTAGCTATTACGGTATTGCCTAGAGACCCATTTTGCATTTTGGACGACGTTACCGTTGAATTTTTCGGGGGGATCGCCATCGATTCGCATTCCTCCTCCTTATAGTTCTTGTCCCAAGTACCGTTTCTCTTCCTCACATTCTCTATGTTTTGCCGACCGTACTGAAACACGAGCAAACGTGATCGTTCCGTAAAACATAAATTATTCCGTTACTTTCACACCTTTGATCGCCTCGGTTTTGACGGTGAACAGAGGAAATTACAATTTTTGTCTATAATCGCTATGGTCGCACAATAATAAAATCAACTGTTATTCTCGAAACTTCCATCGTTCAATTCTACATGATGTACTGGAAAATATGCACAGAAAAAAAGTATTTTTTTGGATTTAGTACATGTGTTTATTTGACTTGGGTTTGTTTATTATAAATATAACATAATTTAATATCAAATATCACTTTGAATGAAAATATTATTTCACTACAGTAAACCATGTTGTTTAGTAGGAAAAAAAAACAGTATTATTTAGAGGAAATAATATTTAGTTTTAAATTAAGAAAATTTTATTTTATTATATATTAATTATTGTCTCACTGAAATAAAGAGAAGTTCTTTAATATTTTTCTAACATGTGGTGTTATTTCTTTCAAATAATTTATCGCTGACAACCATTATAATGTTTGCATGAAAATACAACAGAAATATATTATTTGACGTTAAGATATTTATTGTTTGAGAAGCTCAATAAGTTCTGTTTGTTGAATCAAATATTTGTTTGTTTCGTTCCGAAAGAAATTTGATTAAATCCAAAGTAATCTTTTCCTCTGTGTACATATCGTTATCTTACAAGTGAATAAATCTATACTATTTTGAGAGAGAGAGAGAGAGAGAGAGAGAGATTGATCGAGATTTCACTTTTGTACGCTTTTAGGAACAAGTTTTCCGTTGACACACAACACGCGAGCGGATGTGTGCGATTTTACTATCGCAGAATCTGCAATCGTAATTTGCGAGGAGGAATAGAGCCGCTGCATGACACGTTGCACAACACAAAAATGCCGGTGATATGAAAACAGACGCACGCGACGCTACACACGCATACACACTCGAAATCGGCACTCAGCCTTCATGTATGTATGGGAGAGAAAGAGAGAGGGGGGAGGAGCGTGTTACAAAAACAATCTCTTGACATTTTGTAACTATCCCATAGCCGAATTGACTTCGACCTCCGGCCAGTGATCAGCGCGTGCTAATCTCACGATGACTAAATCGTGATTTGTCCAGGGGCAAATTCCAGAAAGGTTCTGAAGAGAACAAGGTACGCGTGAGCAGCGCGTGCCAAAGTGATAAGCGCCGGCGGTTTTGCGCGCGATTAACGAGCCACCTGATAATCAAGATATTCAGTGAGTTTGCCGCGATCATTAATCAACATGCTATTTTTAATGCGATGTAACAAATATTCGAACACCTCGACCGTAAATTCGTCGATGATTAATTCTAAAGTTGAATTGAGTCTTTGTACGGTACATGCTGTTGCTCGTTTGAACATACATATAGAGTGAGCCACGTGACCGATTTAATTTATTCTGCTCGTACTGGACCGCTTGGAAAATTTTGTTGTCCAGTATAACATGGTTCAAGGTAAGATAATCTTAAAGCTCACCTTGAACCGTGTTATAGTAGACAAAAAATGTTCAAGCGGTCCACTAACAGCAGAATAAACTGATCACGTTGCGTTGATTCACCCTGTACGTCATAATGTCAACCAGAGATCTGCATATGACAGTGTCCGTAAAATTAATTCGCGTGAGAACGGATTGGTCTGTGGAATAATGCCGCGGACGATGAAGGAAATGTATTAAGTCCTGAAGTTCCCCAAGTTACGAATTGTTTGCCGTCTAATTCTCTTTGTCGATTCGCAACTCTCGGAATCAGGAGCGTAAAATCAACACATTTTCAGCAGAAGTTTTTTCGATTGCGTCCGTGCATCATTTAGAATTTTTTATAATTGCTTTAAGTCTAGCGGTCAATTTTTTATTCAAATGTTATAAGATTCATTTTTTTTACGTTGTTTTTATGTTAATATTATCCTTTGCATTTACATGTATATAAAATTATGTAAAATTAATTGAACACGAGAGAGCTAACAACAAGTTTGAACCTCGCTTTGAATTTCGCTTTTCGAAAAGAGCCATGTGTTACAAAATCTAATTTAATAAAGTTATATTTTCAAATACAAATTTTGAATTTTCCTTCTTATTTAAAATACGCAATTACTTAGTTGTCAACCCAATAATACGAGTGCATTTGAATGCGTCAGTTCGTCTTCGATGCAGATGCATTGAGTCACTTGGCTGCTTCAACGTTCGCTGAACTAACTCGTTCAGTGAATTGCATACACGAATTCGCCTGTGCTGCTCAAAGGAATTCTGACGATTACTTCAGCTTTTGCAAATTAAAATAATATAAATTCTGACGATTACTTCAGCTTTTGCAAATTAAAATAATATAAATTATTATACAATAGCGACTATTATATAATATATAATACTGATGATTATATAAAATACCGAAGCAAAACTTTCAGTTTGAACAGCCTTTTACGTTTTCTCCTTCAACTCTTTCACGTTAATATCAAAATAGTATGTTTTTATTTTGTTCAATGTACGCTTCTCCGATTTGTAATCGCTCTTTTTTTTTTGCCTCAGTTTATCTCACGGCTATTGACGGAGATAACGTCGTATGCTAATAGACGACCGTGAATTAAAAATGCAATCATCGATTTCCTCGACATTTTTAGAACGTGACCTATGAACCGAAATAATTTTGCATATTGAAATTAATGAACGTTTCGTCGCAACGACATTTCTCTAGACAAATCGCTATGACGCCACATTTATTAGCATGACACAGGCTTTATAGTCATGTACAGCATTTCACGTGTTTTCATGAAATAAACGCTGTTACCACGTTGATAATTGTTAAGTGGACAAAGTAAAAGATAAGTGTTTATCTGAATTATTTCATTGGTACCAGAAAACCGACCAACACTTGAACTCGACATTAGTCGGAAGGAAGAATTTTCTAAGAAATAAGTTGACTGTATATTATTGTAATTTTTTAATTGTAATTTTATATCCAACATTTTAAGATCATAGAATTTTTAAGAACAAAAATCGCGGACTCACACTGGTTCCCTGAAATTATCGATTTAAGTTTGTTCGTTGATTATAAGTATCACTTTTTGCAAGTTTAAACTTACTGGATAAGTTAAAACGATCAAATCTAAAATTTGTTTATTTTTGTAAATTTTTCTAACGTTGTACGCACTTAATTCTATTTATGATCACTCCCACCCAAATAGTCTCTATTCGCATTTTTAATGAACTTTTGATGAACTTGAATGTGAATTGCGTGCACCAATATTAACAAATAAACAAATTTCCAAAGATAGTCAGTGTCAGATGCAAAGGAAAAAGGAAAGACAAGAAGCACGCTATTTGCTGAAACTGGCGCAATTTGTGGGCAATTGGTCTAGATTATCGTATCAACAAGCTGATATCTCCGAAGTGGTGTGATGTTTCACTTTTGTCACTAAAAGAACCGACATTACATTCGTCGACAGCTTAAAATACATGTGGTTACAAGTAACACGCGACTGATAATTTGCTTTACGCTCGGCGCTAATCATGCGAACCGTCCTTATGTCATTGAAAGTTACACTCGTACGATTCAGTTAACTACAATATCGTCTGTCACGTCGAAGAGTGCAGCGGCCATTTGTGTATAGACTATGATTCCCAAATCCATTCAGTGAAATATATGGTTGAAGTGGATGTCAAATTAAAGATCTCAATAAACCGAAAACAAATATATTAGGCTAGAAGTTGAACCGGTTTCCAGGCATTCTACGATACAGTTATATTAAGAGAGATTTACAGGATAAATAAAGCTGAACGGTATTTTACGGTAAATAAAGGGAATGTAAAATTTTATAATCGAGCGAACGTTCTAAGTTTCATTGACCGTTGCATTTTGCATTCTTTCGACAGACATCGTCCTTTGAGAATATCTTTTCATCGGGCCGTGCAATGTTATTTTTGTTTCCTTCAAAGTGCGTACGAGTATACTTTTTTCCGCATCCTCGTCTCTTTTTGCGCTGTATGATGGTAGCGAATTATTAATCACATTTCGATGACGTTCGCGAGTACTTTTTATATATACGGTACTTTATCACACACACACACACAAATCTATATATATATATTTAACCGTTATAAGTCAATCACGTAATGTGGCGATTTTGCAAAAGAAGTAACACAAGTTTAGCAGATAATTGCATGTTAATCGATACTTCGCACGCTGCAACGAAGCGAGAAAATTATTATGATTCGAGATCGCGCGCATCTGTTGACACATGACGTCGACGTGCGTGAGAGAGCCGCGCATCTCATATTTCCGCAATTTTTATTAAAAATACATCCCGTATTTCGTCGCAGTGCTATTCTGGTAAGTAGAATTTACGCGCGGTAAAATTCTAGCAAAGTCTTTTCGATAAAACTTAAACCGAGAAAGTCGATAAATGCCAAATATATCGCAAGAGTTACACAAATGTTTACGATGATACGACGAATGTTATATCATGCGTGGCATTACGCAGCATTCGTTGGTTCGAGTCGCGTGATGTGCCTTGAACTTTCACACCGCCACCACCGCGGAAAGGTATCTGGCCTACGTCCATTGCCCTCGAATCCCGTCTGCTCTGTATCGGCGATCGCGAGCCAGGCTTCCCGTTGTCGATTGGACGACGAAAGGATCCGCGAGCAATTTCTCTTCGGAGAGAAAACCCACGCGCGAACACATATATATATATATATTTATTTATTTATATCGCCGCACCATTACAAGATTATTAATCGTCGGTTACCAATGAAATGAAATTATCGATTTCTTAACGTGCATCTTTAATAATATTCCTCGAAGAAAATATGTGCCAAGGTTTTCTCGCGAATTAGTGTAACCTTTGCCCGTTACAAATAGCGACTTCTACTATAAAACGCGACCTTTCGAACACCATTTGCATAATAATAAGTAACATATGTTTGTTAAAAACTTCGTTACGAAAGATTCATGCGTTACCTTACAAACTTGATTGCAAACAA